AGGCAACGGACATAACAGGGGCCAGCTGCGGGCGCCTGCGCGGCCGGCGGTGAGTGGAGGGGTTTGGTGCCGGGATTTCCCCTGAGCTGGAGTTGTCTCTGACAGCCAGGTACGCGGAAGGGCGGGGAGACATGGGGTCAGCCCCTCGCCCTCCCAAGGGCCCGATGGACAAAATGAAGGCTGGTCTCCAAAGCGGAGCCCCCAGTGGGGACGCGCCGGCTGACCCTCCAAGACAGAGTGTGACTTCCGTGTTCCGGACCTAAAACCCGCAGCGGTCGGGTCAGGGGCCCCCCTCCCACCCCCTTTTTCAGGTTACAAACCTCCTGCCGCTGGGACTCCTTGGGTGAGGGTTTGATGGCCAGGCACCTGCTGCAGGCCCCGTGCGGCTGCTCTGCTCCTTGGAGTCGAGCGCGGACCCAGCGGGAGGGAAGCCCTGAGAGCTCTGTGGGCCGGTCACTACCTCCGGCCGCAGTTTTCTCACCTGTAAAATGATGGGGCTGGACTTGTAGTCTTAAGGCCCCTAAATTACAGCCATGTCACTGAGCCAACTCCTCAGTTTGTGGTGGAAAAATTGGAGCCAGCAAGGGGAGGTGGCTTGTCCTGTGTTGCAGAACGAAAACCTGACTTCCAATCCAACAGCTCTTCCCAGTAGCTCTTTGCACCCATATGGAGTATATACTGTGTGTGCCAGGAGCACCCCTCTGTACAGCGGAGGCTGGTCCCGGGATCGGGGAAAGGTAGGTGGCAGGAACACCAGTAGCACATTCGTTTTTCTATCTTCAGGACCTGATAAGCATTCACAGGACTAAATAAGCCCTCACCTAACGCTTACGGAAGGAGAGCTCTGGCAGACTCAGCACCACTGTCCCTAAAAGGCTTAAAGGAAAACGTGGGTAGGACACACGTAGAAACAGTTGCTTTAATGACCAAGGTGAACTCAGAAAAAACTTCTCACCTTCTGTATCTGGTTTAAACCTCTAGGCTTCAGTCCAGACCCTGAATGGCTGATCTCCACTTGGCACCACCTCTGCCTGTGGGTGTGATGCTCCCGCATAATAAAACAAAAGCTCCCGGGCTCCACGCAAGTAAGCAAGACCCCTATGAAAAAGGTGACTCTCCCCAGATGTCCTCAATGGGGCACCTGAGGCATCATTCCCAGGAGAAGCTTTTGAGCAACAAAGAGCTGACGCTGAATCATCTCTACCCTCACTCCAAACGGAACACCTGTGAGAGAGCTGGGAGCTGCTTCTGTCCCCACCGTGCTGGACTCAGCCAGCAAGAGCCAAAAAGCCACCCCCAGAGCCAAGCCAAGGATTTGTTTTACTCATCAGGCCCTCAGTCCCGGTACCCCAAAGCAAATAACCATGAATTCATCCCCTTTACAAAGAAGCGAGTTGGAGTGGACCGGGCATACCCACTGAAACCTGTGTTCCACAGGAAGTCTCATAGTACAGGTGAGACTGGCATGGATGGGGACCAAGACATCTCTCCAAGACCCCCTGAGCCAAGGGAGTTGTCATACAGAGGCTTTGGTTTGAGGAACTGGGCCGGCTCATCTGTGGTTGGTACTGTTGCTGCCAGGCAGGGGGAGAGGACCATGGCAAACCCCACCCGGACCGAGTGGCTGCAGATCCAAAGACTAGAAGCTGCAGGGGAGAATTTAGAGGAGGAAATTCGAAGAAAAGAGACCCTCCTACGGGAAAAGCTGAAGAAGACAGAAGAAGAACTCAGAAGGATCCAGAAGGAAAAAGAACAGGCTGAGGAAAATGAAAAAAGAGAGTTACAGAGACTGACACTCCCCAGGAGGAGACTTAAAGGTAATAGCAACACCACGTACAGACCTGTCTTCTCCCCAGACTATGGCTCTAAGGAGGTCTTCAGTGGAGAGGAGGAAACCTGGGGAGGGTCTCAAGAAAATCGTAGTCCATTCCAGTTCTCTGGTTATGGGATGCAGAAGCTCAAAAGGGAAAGACTAGTGGCAAACAACAAAAAAATCCGAGACCAAGCCTCGGGGCAGGTGAAGGAGAAGTGTCCTCAGCCTACAGAAGCGCCAGGCAGCAATTCTAACTGGTCTAGGGCACCACACTCCTCAGGTTCCAGCTGTTCCACCGAAGAGCCAGAACTGGGCAAATGCAGCCACTGTGGACGCAACTTTCTCTTGCTCAGGCTGGAGAGACACTCCAACGTCTGCAGCAGGATGCAGGGTTCCAAGAGGAAAGTGTTTGACTCCTCCCGGGCCCGGGCCAAGGGCACAGAACTAGAGCAGTACTTGAACTGGAAGGGACCAGCCTCAGTCAAGGTAACAAGGACCTTACGGATTTGACCTTGAGTGGGGATCATTGTAAGGGCCTGTTAAAGCCTCATATGGTGTTTTTTTGGTTTGTTTTTTGTTTTTGTTTTTAGAAACACTTTGTTATAAAGGGAGAAAATGAGAATTAACATTTATTGGTTATTACTGTGAACAGGAGTTTCATAGGACCCTCACCACAAACGTGAGGATTTCATGATCTCTTATCAATTCAAAAATCAAGTCTCAGAGAGGTCAACTTGAATGAGATCACAAACAGCTTTAAGTGGCAGTCAGAATATAAAACTGGGTTGGAATGACTCCAAAATCTAGTCATTTGTTGTTGTTGTTAATCCTCACCCCAGGGTATCTAGAGGAAATTTATCACTTTCATGTAATTTATCATGTAATTTGTCACTCTTTTATTATAAAAGTGATAAACATTTACTTTTAGAAAATTTAAAAGAAAAGAACTATTCTGCATTTTACTACCTTGAGAGAATTCCTTTCACTTTGCAATATACTTTGCCACCTTCCGAGATTAGAATCTGTTACTACTCCTGTGACCACATCTACTTTTTCAAGATTAGCTCAGTTTTTATATACCTTCTAAGTAAAATACATGAAACACAATTAAGTTTGGAATTCTTCTCTCCATTTAGAGTGCAAACACCTTAAAGGTGAATGACTTTATTTTTGGTTACCATTTCCAGCTGCAGAAAACCTAGGTTGTAAAAAGTAAGGACTTTGGGACATTTACATGATAAGCTTAATTTTAGAGAGAGGAAGGTTTGAAGGGAAGGGGGAAGAGTGAGAGAGAGCGAAACATTGATTTGTTGTTCCACTTATTTATGCATTCATTGGTTGATTCTTGTATGTGTCCTGACCTGAGATTGAACCTGCAATCTTGGTGTATAGAGACAATGCTCTAACCAACTGAGCTATCTCCCAGGGCACTACTCTAGTGGTTTATTTCTGGCCAGAATGTAAAAGAATCATGTGTTTCTTAAATTCCTAAATACAGTAGCAGCGAAGCAAAAGATTTGGGATCAGATGCCCTTGCTTTGTGGAAACTAGTTTGGGGGAATATGTTGCATCGAGGACACCAAGGCAGAAAGGATCTGCATTGAGATGCACTCCCCTCCTTGGAATGTCCTGTCTTATTCCCAAAGTTTGTGCCCTTAGAAGCTGAGTGGTTTGTGTCTCCCTCTCATTCTTCTAGTGCAGTGGTCGGCAAACTGCGGCTCGGCAAACTGCGGCTCACGAGCCACATGTGGCTCTTTGGCCCCTTGAGTGTGGTTCTTCCTGTGGTATTTTGTGGAAGAGCCACACTCAAGGGGCCAAAGAGCCACATGTGGCTCACGAGCCGCAGTCTGCCGACCACTGTATCTAGTGTATTCAGAAGAACAGGTGATTTTTCTGATATCGTTTAATATTCATGTAACTTTCAGTATACTCATACCTCTTGTCTCTCTACTGGACCATAAGCATTTGAGCACAGAGGCCACATTTTGGTATTTTGTGATTGTGCTAATTGAATAAAATATCAAAACAACAAAGAATATAAGTATAAGTATCATATAGTTGACAAACTTTTCTCTAATTCAATTCCTGGACACCACCTCCAACACGGATTCTCTTGCCTTCTTGTCTGTTTCAGTAAGACTCTCCTGATGGATCCTTCCTTTTCCTTCGATAACATCTCTTCCTAGTATTCATCATTAAGGATATGGCATCACTTGCCTTCTTTTTAAGATTAATTTTTATTTTAGTCTAAATATTTGAATACATTTTTATAACCATGTAGTACTGCCATTGTAGTGGAATTACAATTTTGCGTTAAACCAGTGGTCAGCTTTTACATTATAATAACCACATATATTTTGTTCACTGATGAGTGAACAAAGTCTGTCCTGCCCACATGCACCTGGAGGTAATTGACTCATTTTCAAATGTACCTTATCTCTATAAATTTTTTTAATGATTCACCTGATGTCAGACACCTGCTACTGTTTTTGTAATTGTTCAAACACCTCTCACAGTCTTATCAGTTTGATTTTTTAAATTCTGGAAACCTCCCTCTGACCACTCTTTTTTTCCTCCTGCTCTAGTCTGCACTGGTTATTTCCACACCTGGCGCAGCCCTGTTGTCTTGGGACTTCTCTGCTTCTCCGCTGCGTTGGGTCCCATTTCCAGCATCCGCGTCTTCCTTCTTCTTGCTATACTCCTTGCCTTGTGGGAGTTTACTAAGAAAGATGCATGGGAGACATATTTTTGTCTTGGAATGAATGAAAATATCTGTCATAGCCTTATAATTTGATTGATGACTTGGCCAGGTATAGAATTCTTGATGGAAAATGAGTTTCTGTTCAGATTTTTGAGGCATTTTCCCACTAGTGTTTAGCATCCAATGTTACTGTTGAGAAATCTGATGCCATTTTGATTTTTGCTCCATTATAGAAAATCATCCTTTTTTATTTTTCTAAAATCTTACAGGATTTTAAATTCTGAAATTCTGGTTTTATAATATGTTGGATACTTGGTAGGCTATTTCAATCTTAAGAGTAGTGACATTTAACTCTAGGAATGTTTATGGTATTAATAATTTCCTCCTCTTGCCTTCTTTGTGTTTTTTGTTTGTTTTTGGAATGCCTATTGGCCAGATGTTGGACTTCCTGGATTGAGTTTCTAATTTTTCAATATTATGTTTTCTACTTTCCATCTTGATCTTTCCCATTCTGCATAATCTTCTTGACATTATTTTGTAACATTTTATTTTCAGCTATCAGTTTTAATTTATAATAGTTCTAAAACATTTATATTGATTTTTAGATAGAGTGGAAGGGAGAGGGTGAAACATTGATGAGAGAGAAACATTGATTGGCTGCTACCTGCATGCCCCCTACTGGGGATTGATCCCTGACCAGGAATCGAACAGGTGACCTCTTGGTACATGGGATGATGCTCAACCAACTGAGCCACACCTGCCAGGCCTTTCTGGTCTTTGTTCCTTTTCCATAGTGTATATATTATTCTCGTTTTTGGTCACAATTTCCTCTAATACTCCTTTGTTGATACTATGGTTTTTCATTTAAAAAATGTTTTTTCCTGGTACCTGCTTTGTTGCTGCTTCCTGAGTGTGTGTGTTTGCTTGTATACTTGTTTTGGTCTCTCTCATGTTCGAGCTTACTTAAATATCTGGTAATACTTGGCTGTCCATTCATATTTAAGCTTAAGTGGGCTTGTTGAGTAAGGATCTTCATATTAGGGTTATCAAATAGTGAGTCTTTTATTTATTTATTTTTAAAAAAATATATTTTATTGATTTTTTACAGAGAGGGAGGGAGAGGGATAGAGTTAGAAACATCAATGAGAGAGAAACATTGATCAGCTGCCTCCTGCACACTCCCTACTGGGGATGTGCCCGCAACCAAGGGGAAAGAGACAGAGTTAGAAACATCGATGAGAGAGAAACATCGATCAGCTGCCTCCTGCACATCTCCCACTGGGGATGTGCCCACAACCCAGGTACATGCCCTTGACCGGAATCGAACCTGGGACCCTTCAGTCCGCAGGCCAATGCTCTATCCACTGAGCCAAACCGGTTTCGGCAAATAGTGAGCCTTTTAATTGCTGTCCCCCAGGGCTAGTGTCTGATGGCTTTTCTCTTGCCTGCTTGGCACATCCAGAGAACCCTTCAGTCTCCTAAGAAGGTGCCCATGTGTTTGGCACCCTGGGAGCCAAGTGAGGGAAGGAGGCTGACAGTTCCGCAGTTCATCATGTACACTTGTACTTGCTCCCTATTTTCAGCCCCAAGATTAACCTTTTCCCCCCTGTGCCTGGATTTCGTGAATCTGACACCTGTCAGGTTCAGTTTCTCCAGAGAATAAACTCCTGTTCTCCTGTGAGGGTGTGGATGTGCAGGGTGGGATAGCAGCCCTGGGTCCTGGCACTTTCCAGCCCCGAGGCTCTCCAGGTCTTTGCTGGGGATCATGGCTTGCTTCTCGGTACTCATCCCCCTTTGCAGGCCCTCAGTGTAAGTGCCTCCACGCAGGCAAGTCAGGATTGACACTGTTTCCTTACCGTCATTCTAGTGGAGACTCGGGAGATGAGATAAATGCCACGTTGAATGATTGGTCTGCCTTCTACTTATAGGCTGAAGCTCCGCGGAAGAGCAACTGGAGACAGAAGCATGAATCCTTCATCCGTACCCTCCGCCAGGCTCGAGAGGTCCAGCGGGTAATTGCCAAAGGTGGAAACCCCTCAGACTTGCCTCCCATCCCGCCTGCAGAAAATCCAGACTATATTCAGTGTCCTCACTGTAGCCGTCACTTTGCTCCCAAGGTGGCTGAGCGGCACATTTCCAAGTGCAAGACCATCAAGAACCGTCCTCTGCCTCCAAGGAAGCATTCCAGTTGAGCAGACAACAGTGGAAACCTCCTCAGTCGTAACAGAAAGCTCTGCTTCTCTTGAGCAGTACGTAGGAGTAGAATGATTTGATGCAAAGCAGGAAGAACTAGAATTTGTACATCTCCCAGATCGGCCTGCAGAGCTGAACTCAGGGAGGAGAAACCCACTGCTAAGCAGCAGGAGGCAGAAGGAAGTCTCAGCCTCCCACTGAATTACCACCTCAGGCTGGTGTGCCTCATGTTACTGCCCTAAGAACTGATGGGTGAAGACAGTTAAGAGTGGCGAGCAGGCTACATTAAAGCTGTCTTCTCAGGAGCTGGCTTGTGGTTTGTGCTAGCTAAGTGCCTGCATCTGCTTGGCCTCCTTGCCACTGCCTCTGCATGTTTGGCGATGGCTCCTGTTAACTCTTCTCGTTCTTGCGAGAAGTTGGCTCATTCGCATGAGTTGGTGTCAGAGGATCCAGGTCTCCCAGATGATATCTCATAAAAGATAATACGATTTAGATATAAGGCAAATGGAAGTCTGTCCTTGACCTCCCTGGTGCATGGTCCTAGCTAAAAACCAATACAAGTATGTAAGGTTAGAGTGCCAATACATCCTAAACCCTCCCTATGGTGTACTGTGTCATAAAGGGAACCTCATCTTCATCTACGTCATAGGGTAGGGATGGGGGAAAACACACTATATATCTCTGTAGTTCTTTTCTAATGTCAAAGAAGGGGAAGAAACTTCAGTTTCAGCTATTGCTAGCACTCTGCTTTCAAATGAGGTTGGTAAGTTGGCTGGATGGCATTTCAAATGAAGCAGCAAAATGTACCATCAAAGCAAGCTGTACATTGCTACGTACATGTCCCCGCTGACTATACCACCCACAGGCAACTTCTTTTTTAGAAAGCAAACTTTGAAGGAAAAGGTACCAGGTGTTTTTCATTTCCTCTGTGCAGAATCATGCCTAGTGCAAGGAACCTTTATAATTAGACCCTCAATAAATGGGTTTGTGGGATTTAAAATTAAACAATGAGCCCTCAACTTGCCAAGTGGGAGCAGTGATGAGGTGAATCTGACAGGGTAGTATCAGCTCCGATAGGATGAAGCTAGCATAACAGACCTGAAATACCAGTAGGGTTATTGTCCTGAGAGCATTCACTCCAATTATTAGTTTAAAATACTGGAAAAAAGTCACCCAACCTGACCCGGGCAAAGAGGACTAGGCACACAACAAAACCGTATTTTACTCAACAACAGATGGCCACTCACTCCTGTTTCATTTCCACTGCAGCTTCTGCTGAGCGGCTGGGCTAACAGATCAAACCCCTTTGAAATGTGAGTTTAAGACTCTAGCTGTGCAGCTACAGGACACTAGGCTGAAAAAAAATTACATATTTTAAAAACAGCATATATTGACTTGTTTTATGCTTTTAACTGTTGCAAAGAAAAAAGTATCACATAACAGGGCTTTCAGTTGGCCACTTAAAGAAGCCTCACATACACACTGGATATTTAATCCAACATAGACATTCCCCAGGCAAGTTTAACAAGGTCCACTTTGTTTCATACTTGATGGTAAAAACAATAGATGGCAAAAATGGGCTGTGGCCAACGTTACTAAGTGGTGGCCTGTGGACTGCTTTGCCCCACAGTTTATTTGCTGGCACAGCACTAACAATATAACCTGGCATTTACAAACTGGGATATGGAGCATCTCTTACATAACCAGAAGTTCTGGAAAGACCAGGCCAGCCACCCTGCATAGCACTCATTGAATGAGGCTCAAAACCAGTTGCTCCTTGACAGGGGAGAGCATTCAGATCACCACAGGCCCACTTATGTGCCTTATCTGTCTGGCCCCTCAGGCACTGGGCTGGGGATCCCTGCATGATTATTAAGGTCACAGATCAGGGCCCTCCGGGGAGAATATAGTGTGTGTGTGTGTGTAGGGGGCAGGGTGCTTTCTAGAGACACAGGAAGCAATTATTCACTATGTTGCTAGAGAAATAAAACAATAGTCAATGTCTTAATGTTCCCTTCAATCGCAACATGCTTAGGCCTTGATTATGTCAGTCTTTTAAATTTAGCTTGATCTGATCTTTGGGAAGAGGTTGGAAACCTTTTTCTAAGTCTCTTCCTGGGTAGCAGAGAACGATGTGTGGAGAAATCAATGCTGCTTGTTAGTCTATGTCAGTGATGGCGAACCTATGACATGCGTGTCAGAGGTGACACGCGAACTCATTTTTTTGGTTGATTTTTCCTTGTTAAATGGCATTTAAATATATAAAATAAATATCAAAAATATACATCTTTGTTTTACTATGGCTGCAAATATCAAAAAATTTCTATATGTGACACGGCACCAGAGTTAAGTTAGGGTTTTTCAAAATGCTGACACGCCGAGCTTAAAAGGTTCGCCATCACTGGTCTATGTATTATACTACTTCATCCAAGAACCTTTAGTGCATGTAAATGTTATAAATTATAAAGTTCAAAGGTTAAGCAGTGGGAAAAATCTCATAGTTAACTCACTGTGTGCAGACATGGTAACACAGTGCTGCTTACCAGCGGTGTATTTAAGGCAGCACAGTACCTTTTGGCCAGCATTTTTTTTTTGTCATCAATTTACAACTTCACAACTGCACAGGAGGTAGCTGAGATGTGATACAGTGTTTATCTCCCAAATGTTATGATTCTATGAGGTTTAGTGATCAGTATGTTTATTTCCATAGTTAGTTATCGAAGCAATAAATGATTTTTGGCTTTGCAGCAGGGAGGAACATGTTTTGTAGCCCTGACTACAGCCCACTCTGCCCTGACACTATCATGAATAATACTTCTTTATAGGCCCAGGGATACTTTTTTGAAAGAATTTATTTACATCTTTGCTGCAGAGTTGGTCTATTATGAATGTTTCCAAATATATGGCAAACCAAATGAAATGTGAGTTTAAGGCTGCTTTTGCTTTACACGCTAGTGAAATGCTCATCCAAGAGAAGTTGTAACGTGGCTGTGCTATGCCAGGGAGACCAAAATACAGTTCACCCGCTTTGAGGGAAACCAGTTTTATAAACATAAATGGCATTATCACTTGAAAAAGCCCACTGTGATCAGGGAGGCAAGTACAAGAAGTGATTCTTCCTCCTCTAATGGCTTATTTTATTCTCCCTCTGCACTTCAAGCACAGTATTTCAGAA